AACATATCTTCTATCATAGATACAACAATGACATATTCACTTCTTATTAAATACATTAGTTACATATCTTCTGTATTAAACATATTCACTTCTTTATTAAATACATTAGTTACACATCTTATATCATAGATACAACAATGACATATTCACTTCTTATTAAATACATTAGTTACACATCTTCTATCATAGATACAACAATGACAAATTCCATTCAGTATTAAATACATTAGGTATACATATTCTTTATCATGATTTATATAATTCTATTTTTTTCATTAATTACATTAGTTACATATTTTCTATATTACACATATACACTTCTTTATTAAATACATTACTTACACATCTTATATCATAGATACAACAATGACATATTTTATTCAGTATTAAATACATTATTAAATAATCTTCTAAATCAGATACAACATCTTCTATTCTTCATGAAATAAATTAATAATACACATCTTTTACATCATATAAAACATGATTTTATTCTTTATTAAATACATTATTTATACACCTTCTATCATAGGTACAACAATGATATATTTTATTCTGTATTAAATACATTAGTGATACATCTTCTATCATAGATACAGCAATGATATATTTTATTCAATATTAATTACATTATTTAATCATCTTCTAAATCAGATACAACATCTTTATGAAATATATAAGTTACTTACCTTCAATATAAAATACAACATATATTGTTTTTCTTTATTAAATACATTCTAAATCTATTATAGATACAGATAATTCTTTTTTTTATTAATTACACTAGTAAATCTAGTAAATTATCTTCTGAAATTATCTTTAAGAAATACATTAATATTGCACATCTTACAGATTAGATACAAGATGATTCTAATCTGTATTTAATATATAAGTTATCTATCTTCTACATTAGAAACAACATGATTCTTTTCTATTTAAATTGCATTAGTTGCTGATCTCTATATATGATACAACATGATTCTATCCTTTATTAAATACATTAATATTACACATCTTCTACAGGAGATACAACATGATTCTATTCTTTTTAACATTTATTATTTACTGATCTCTATATAAGACACCACGTGATTCTATTTTTTTTAACGTTCATTAGTTACTGATCTCTATATAAGACACCACGTGATTCTATTTTTTCTAACGTTCATTAGTTAATGATCTCTATATAAGAAACAACATGATTCTATTCTTTTTAAAATACATTAGTTACTAATCTCTATATGATACAACATGATTCTATCCTTTATGAAATTCATTAATATTACATATCTTCTATATTAGATACAACATGATTATTTTCTTTTTCACATCTATTAGTTTAAAAAGTTACTGATCTCTATATAAGATACAAAATGAGTATATTCTGTATTAAAAACATTAATATTACAAATCTTCTACATTAGATACAACCCAATATTATTCTTTATTAAATACATTAATATAACACATCATCTGAATTAGATACAACATGATTCTATTCTTTTTATATTCACTAGTTACTAATCTCTTCAAAAGATACAACATGATTCTATTCTTTTTACATTCACTAGTTACTGATCTCTTCAAAAGATACAACATGATTCTATTCTTTTTACATTCACTAGTTACTGATCTCTTCAAAAGATACAACATGATTCTATTCTTTTTACATTCACTAGTTACTGATCTCTTCAAAAGATACAACATGATTCTATTCTTTTTACATTCACTAGTTACTGATCTCTTCAAAAGATACAACATGATTCTATTCTTTTTAACATACTTTGGTTACTGATCTCTACAAAAGATACAACATGATTCTATCCTTTCACACGATTTTACCAGCTTCCCAATTCATCTACATGTAATCTCCTCTCCAAATGCTGACCACACAGATCAGCACAGTGGTCCATGGTACACTTTACTAATGACATACGATATGAAAAGTCATTAGTGAGTTAATATCATTTAATGTTTTATTCATTAAGCAGCTGTAATAAATCTGAAACAAATACTGAAATGGTAAATTGTTGTCACAATGTAACACCTTTTACCATTATTAATGAGACGAATGTGAATTTTAATAAAACAAAATATAATGTGCTTTTTACTAACTTAATGCATTTACGTTTTTTGATAATTTTTCAGATTATTTAAGTAAAAGATTATGACATTTCATAGGCGGGAAAATGAGCCATGAGTCACCAAAATTACCATGAAATTTTGTCATTATTTGTTCTCTGTAACATACTGAAAGTATTTGATTATTATTTATAATCATGCTATCGCCTCATTAACTGCAACTCATAATGTATATTTATATTATAATTAAGGATATGGATATAGGCATTATATGTATATTATTTTCTTCTTTTTTATGGGTGACTTCACTATTTCCTGTAGGATTATTGTTCTCACGAAACAATGGGAAAATGCAGTTTTGGGATATAGAGTTCTTATCGATAACCATCTACAACCATGTTTCAGCTGATATTTCAGAAAATAATACAAGAGGATACAACCTTTGTCCCAAAATTGATTCCGTTTGCGAGTTATATTCCATAATGCAAGAAAGAAGACAGAAAATACCTATAATTTTCAGAACATAATGATCAATGGATATTGAAATGATCCTTTCTATTTAATTTCATTTACTCTGAGTTTCTTTTAATCAATTTCATTTCAATTCACGCTCAAAATCTATTTCATTCTAAATCCCTCATTAAGCCAATTTAATTTCAATTTTTTTCTCAAAGTTAATTTCCTTCTCAAAGTCTATTTAATTTCATATCACTCTCAAGGTCAATTTCTTTCTAATTAAGTCTCAAAGTCAATTTCATTTTAATTCATTCTCAAATACAATTTCATTTCATTTCACTCAAAACCGTTTTCTTTTCATTATTTCAATTTTCACAAGCAAAAAGCACAATAGCCGACATTTCGTTTTCCTTCAAGGAATTTAGCCTTACGGAAGTGATGCTTATTGTCGCTGGTTTGTGGAACTATCTCATGATGACAGTCTATTGAATTCTAATGTCATACTGGACAGACCAAACTAGACAGATGATTTCATATTAAATATGGCGGTGGAAGGCGAAACGACTTGCAAACACGATATTTCGTGGACCTTCTCCAAATTGTCATAGTTAGAAATGCTAGTAATTATAAGCGTTATTGTCCTGGATCGTTCTTAATCTATGATCTTATACCAGCAATAATTCTTCGCAAAAATGAGCTTCTGTGTCAAAATGGCCGATTAAGCGATATTGAATGATCTCAAGGGTGAAAACACACCAGTATTTTATTTCGCCAGTTAAATTGAAACTTGCTCATAAAAATGACAAAGAATTTAGTTTCTGTAATTGGATTTCAAAAATTAATGATACGTCGTGCACCAAATGTCGTTAATGGTGATTTAAGACGGAGAAAAACACGAGATATCTCAAGAGTGAATATCGCAGCCGAATTTTATTTCGTTTCTTGATCTGCAGTTAAAAAGACATTCCTATATTTTAAGTCAGCCAAGCAAAAAAGGTTGATCAAAAGTTCGAGATACTGCCATGTTCTGATGACGCCGATTACGTAATAATGCTATTTCCCTATTAATTTGCTGTATATTTTTTATCTTCATTTCATACATAAAGTCGTTTCAGTGGAAAATTAGAAATATGAAATCAGATGAAAGAACCGTGTTCATAGGAACAAGTCTGAAGATCATTGCGATTGATTTCGCAATAATTTTTTCTTCACGTAATACTTCAATAATATTCATGGAGGACACTCTACGTCCTTATTAGATGATGATGAGAGCTTCGATCTAATTTTGTGTAAGATGATGATGAGAGCTTCGATCTAATTTTGGTTAGATGATGATAAGAACATCGTCCTGTCACCTCGTCCTTATTTTGTGTTAGTTGATGATGAGAACATCGTTCTAATTTTGTGTTAGATGAAGAGTGTTAATTTTGTGTTAGATCATGAGAACATCGTTCTAATTTTTGTTAGAAGATGGTGAGAACATCGTTCTAAGTCTGTGTTAAATAGTGATGAAAGCATTGTCCTACTTTTATGTTAAATGATAACAAGAACATCATCCTAATTTTGTATTTTATGATGTGAACACCGCCCTAATTTGATATTAGATTGTGATGAGCACACCCTCCTAATTTTGTGATGGTGATAAGCGCATCATCCTAATTTTGTGTTAGATGATGGTGAGAGCACCGTCCTAATTTGGACAACTGAATTTACAAAACTAAACTTAACTATAAGCCATACTGCTTTGTTCTTCTCGAGCAAAGCGTTGAGCAGTTGACATTAAGACTATTATGATTGGTACATACTCATTCCGTAAATCTTTTCGCCAGATGCCCAATTCTGTACATATCTATACACTATAGACTATACACTTCGACTATTTGCAGTAGCTTACCTATATATGTGTACAACTGCAAGAATTAATCTAAATTGCATTACTGAATCTTGAAGAAATTCTTAATTTAATGTTCTAAAAAATGCAAGAACATATAAACTTGTTGGGAATGAACGTGAAGTAATGTAGCCATAGGGTTACGGTACCTAACTTCAAAGGTTATGTCTGGCTATTGTTCGGTTTGCGGGTTCTTTGCACATCACCACAGGAATCTACAATGTTATGAGGTGCAATATATCCTTACAAAGTTCGATCACTATTAATAATTTGTATTAATTAACTCTTTCTATATTCGTTATTGCTAATTATAAATAGGGATTAGTACGGCTGGCTTAATCCTTAATCCGAAACTAGAATATTTCAATGATGATATTAATCCAAAATTAAAGGATTTTACTAAAACCGCTCTTCAAGATTAGATTAGATTTGTTACTATGGGGTTTGGTTGTTTCGGTATAAATGCAGTCGGACGCATTTTGCTTCATTACATTTCTCAAGAACATCAAGCGGGACACATCAGGGACAATTCTCAATAATAGGACGTAAGGACCAGGGCAAACTGTCGAAAATGTCGTCAAAATCAGAGAAGATGGTGTTTGGTATGGTAGCAATGTTTATATTATTCATGTCCATAGGATTGGAAATCACTGGATCCTTTTTACCATTTTGGATGAACCCGGTCAATCAAACGTTCTCCAATACTGGTGGAAATGTGAGTTTTTCACTGTGGACTAAACAAGAGTGCTGGGATATTATTTGTGAGACCAAGATTATACATGTTCAATGGACACAAGAAGAATGCTACAATAAAGATGGTAAAGATGAATGTCAGATCTTCCATGGAACCAAATCTAAACCAGTGACGAAATGTTACCAAGCTTTCTACTGCAACATCACGTGGAATTTTCAAGAACTTCATAAGACCCCTTCATTGTTGCTTATGGGCGTAGCTTTTGAAATACCGAGTGTTCTGTGTGGAGTTATTGCCCTTGTTATTTGTATCATCAAATTCTTTCTATTAGTTGAATTCCCGAACAGAAGTAGACGTCACATAAAAACCGCTTATCTAACATTGAGCGGTATGGCCGGTACAGGGTCTGTTGTGTCAATTATAATATTTTGTGTACAATTGAACAAACATGAATTCCATTTGGGATGGGGACCAGTTTTCCCCGGCGTTGGCGGATTTCTGCAACTCTGTATCAGCATCTGTGGTTATTTAACATGGAATAATCCAAATGAAGATGATTGGTCTGATGGTGTTCATTCTTCATTTCTAGACCAATCAACAGACTCAACCATCAAACCAACGACTAAACCGGAAGAGGAAATGTTTAAAATTGAGATTTAAATAAGCCCCGGTGCGTCTTTGCGTAGCAAGTTCAACCAATTTACTGTGATTTTGTGTCGTTACTTATAATATTGTATAAAGTTAATTTATTAACACTTTGTTATTGTTTGTTATCATTATCATTCTATCATCTCAATAAACATAAGTTATGCAAATCCATTGTTAGTTTTTTCGCCTTCTTCATAAACCGACCTCATTATTTATGCCTCTCTAGAAGAGAATAGGGACTTCCTGCAACAAATTTCATGGGTTCCTGCAATGAGTTTCATTAATTTAAAAAACAAGGTTCAAACCCGAAGGAACAAATTTTGCCTGGAATGAAATCTCCATGTGTGGGTTTGATGCGAAAATTCAAAACGCCAGAAGGGATGAACATGAATTCGACACAAGTTCTTGTATTTTAAAATAAACACCTTAAGTTTGATTACAATTTGGACATAAATATAACCATGTTGTGTTAGATGGCGTTTCCGGCAAGACAATATTTAAACAAACATGTTACCTACTTAACACACTGAAAATCGAAACACCCTTCAATTTAGAGCGCTAATATGTTTTTTTTATTCGTGTTAATGTTAAGGATAATGAAAATAGCCTAAGAGCAAAGTTACAAAATGTTTCCAACTGTTGTTTTATTTACAACAGAAAACTTGTCCATCAAATGAGCGAATATCTTACAATTTCTTTTAATTATGATTAGAACATGCATTTTTTGTGGGACCACCGAAGCTGAATGTGTAATTAATACTGATTACTGTTTCCTTACAACAGCCATCATCCAAACGAGAAAACGAGACCGTTGCAAACATACCTTCACAGAGAAAAGTGCATTTCAAGCTGCTGTGAATTGTTCGAACACTCACTAGAGTATTTATTGACCGCCGCAGATTCTATTCAATCAAGAACCCGATCAACCCCAAAAAGTAAAAGTTACAGCATCATCATTTTACGGGGTTCATTTGGGTCTTGTATATATGTAAATAGTCTTCAGAAATACTAGAAACGTACGAAAATCGCAAAATTCTTAAAACAGGAATTTATTATGAACGTGAAGTCGGGAAAAATATGACTGCTAACCGGACAATCATTTTAGAATCATTAAGATTTGTAAGTGCATTCATTTTATTTCATAACTAATCTGATATTGATAATGGCTGTACTACTATTGAATTTCATATTGTTTCCTTTTGTCACTATTTGTTTGCTGTATTGCGCACTGCTTAGAAAAGTATAGAAGTGTTTAACATCTCGTTCATATTTCAAGAGTAAAAACCAGGAGGAAATGATACCTTGGAAGACTTGAAAATACGCCCTAGATATCACCGATTACGGAATTATTCAAAAGTGAGCTCTAAATTGACAAAAATAAAATGATATGCTCGTGATGGGCGTTACTGATTTGCCCACAGGGTCTTTCAGCTAATGTCCGATTATCCTTCAATAAGCGATTAATCCCGTTATTTTAGAAAATGAATAGCAGTTGATGTTGACATGTCTGGCCACAGGGAGGGGAGGGAATCTGGTCTTCTCAATTTTCATTAATTTCTCAAAGCACAAAACCTCGTATCTGACAGTTGCTTCTATTATCTACATTGAGATGAAATTGGTTTAGTGGTAATAAAGCTTCTAACTCGATTACCATCTTCTGGCGTTCCTCTTACACCACTAATCTAATCTATGGGGCTTTAATATTTACAAAAGATTTCAACCCATTTAAAGAAAGTATCAGATTGTTCAATGGAAGCTCTATCTGGAACATGTCTCAACCAATTGTTTTTACGCGATCTTGACAAACGGCCATTACTCGACTTCACTCAATGCATCTGATATCATTTACTAACGTCAATTTGCTAGGGTTGGATTTCGTTTTCGTTCGTCTGTAACGTTCCTGTGATCCGCTTTATTAGGTTAAGATTGCCATTGATTATGTCTAGAACTGATGGTTTAAAGATATATTATATAATTTAGTCTGTAATGGGTCACATTAGATCAGATAGGTTTTCTTCTACTGTCGAGATTTGTTATCACAATACTTAATTCAATCTAACGAAGAAATTCGAATTTCATTGCAATAGACGACAATAACAAAAAATCGCATGAGAAAATAAAATATTTCAGATATTTTAATTCTTCAGCAAAATTTGTGCTACAAAGAACCGGACCTAGTAATGTAATAAATCGAATAAACATACACATATGTCATTGTCCGTTTACCAGTGGAGAATTGACGTGAAAACCTTTTGGTTTCAACAATGCCCTGTGTGTCCTGCACAAAGTATATCTTTAGCACCGTCTTGACCTAAAATTTATATTCTTGTTATCTAGCGTTTCATAATTTATTTTTCGACAGATAATGTATTTCCAAAGTTTTTTTCTGTCGTTCCTTCAAAAATTTATTTTTCATAAAAGTCATACTGTTTTTGAATAATGTATTTTTGAGGATAATTTGAATTTTTGAATTTACATCTTGATATTATTTAAATGTGAAATATTGACAAATATATCAAATATATTTCGAGTGTTTGACTATGTGATAATCTCCTGTAAAAAATAAAATTATGCAGATATGTTTCTAATGTCAAAGTTTTGAAAGACTATTTGAATTTCAACTGTCATATCTATAACAGAAATTGAAGCCGAATAATATAAATGTAATAGTGTATGTAATTTTTACGACTTTCCAGATCGAATAGTTATCAACGGCAAAACCCAAAATGTTCTGAGTTTCAAAAGAAATATTCAAAATAGTTCTAGTAATTTTAAAACTTAACAAAAAATTGCTGGTGAAATCAGTCAAGAACACTGTGAACTCTCTCACAGTGTTATTAACTGTCAGCACTTCAAACGGCACATTTTTACTCAATTGTTAATGAACTAGACGTCGAATTTTCATTCTGAAATGTGATACAGGTAACTGAGATTGAAGGTCATGATATCAAATATATTTGCATGGAATGATAAGGACTCTCTTGATATATAAACTGTTCTGGTCACTTCTAACGGTAATTTGTGTTCTTGAACTAGATGTCGAATTGTTGGCAAAATGCATTTTCAGGCGGCATTTGAGAATAAGAAATAAATCTGCATTAGAATAGTAAAATATGGACGAAACCTTCTCACGAGAAAACAGTGGTATATTAACAGCAAATTGAGTTGAATAGTAAATGTGCTAAACGCTTTTATCTTGCATTGAATAATTAGACTGATGATGCAGTAATAAATTATATATTATCAATTTTCAAAAAAAACTGGTTCATATTGTTCTCTAAAATTTATCAGAGCTAGTTATCCCTTCTAATCATAGACTACCTTCTCAAACATCGCGTAACCGACATTATCTCAATATTTTCAAAAGGTAACTCTACACCTTTGCAAATCTATTTATTTAAGCTTTAATATTAAAATACACACAAACTATTCTTTGGATAGTGCGATCCAATAACGATATATACAAAACCTTAATTCAGAGTAACAGGGGGCCATGTCATGTTAATTTTCGTCGTATCAATCTAGCTTTACATCAAGTCCCCAATCTCAGCCGAGGTAATGGATAGCCCTTAATGGTGTACACTGGTATTCATAACGCTCAAATTTCATAAATATAAAGATGAGTTGACATAGGATTTACATTGCTCACCATGGAATAAAAATGATGGGATTAGATAGCCGGCTACCTGTCATATAGTTGACATAATAATACCAATAGGAACATGCAGCGACATCAAGACGTTTCGCGTGTCATCTTGAAATTCAGGGGACGGGATAGTTCGAAGAAGCTATGTCAAGTAGGGTCTGTGTTATCTATATTACTCAAGTGCTTAAACAAGCCAAGAAACTGTTTAACGGGATTTTGAAAATTGTTCTTCTCTATCTATGATGATAAAGATATAATACTGTTATCGAATTTTAAATATTCAAATTACATTTACGGCTTGTATCTTGCTATTAAAGGCATTCAATATAAGTATTGATCGAATTCTAAGCAGCAAGCCTTATGATCGAATAAGGTTACCTTTTCAAGCATACATCAACCATCAAATTACTAATATTCAATTTCGGAAGCCATTAGGCAGTATGTAAGTTCCGAAATAAAAGAGGACAACCAGGATATAAGAAGGATGCCAGCCTTTTACCATCATCTGACAGGCATGAAATGGAAGTCTGCAATCTATGCACAACATTCACTAACTTCGCTTTCGTGGAAGTAAACGCCAATAATTCACGAGCAGCTTGTGCTTTGAAAGCGGATGCCACAAGAGAATGGCTACTTCTGGCAACTTTTCATCTTCAACCAGATTCGCTTACGGATGTCCATGGTGGATGCAAATGGTGTTTATTCGTTTTTGGTCAAAAAGGCACAGTAAAGTAGGGCATAAAACTCGAGGTTAAAAACGCATTACATTACGAATAGAAGGGCAGGTGAACGGTATAGGGGTAACAATTAAGAGGGTATCATACGTTGTAATGTACACCACGACGATCAGACAGATAAAGGTGACTAAATACCAGATTTATTGTGGAAATTAAGAAAATTGATCAGTCTCTTTACACCTACTATTCATCTGATATTAGTATTTAGTAAAACCCATTTTAAATTAAGCCCCTTTGATGTAGGTTTTTTATGACAACTAAATGAGTTCTTTATGTTGACTTTGAACTGTTTTATCCTATTAGTTCAATCGTAAAGATGGATTATGTCCACATAAACTGCCTTATGCTGACCAGCCTGGAATTACTAGACTGATATTGAGTAAGACCACGTCTGAAACCAAAGAAAAAGAAATGAATTCTGATGAATTCGGATTGTTTCCCAAAAAGGAAAGGAACCCTGGTTAAAAATTCCGAAGGCAATATCTTGAGCTTTGCTGGGATCAAACGTTTTAGGCATCCCGGTCATAAGAAACCATTGTAGGCCTAAGTAAATTCGTATTGTACTTGTGGGAAAGAACATTAAGCTTTTACAGTAAAAAACTTTAATTCCAAAAACATTTTACATCAGA